GCGTGGCTGAGGTGGGCTTCTGCGGTGCGGATTGCTTTGGAATTCTCACGTCTAAAGAGTACGGAGTGTTGAACCCCCCTCCTCCAGTAACCACTGCACTGTTCAGTTAAAGTGCTCCTCCCCAGGCAGGCTCGCACCCTGTTTTTACAAAGGAAAGCAATGTGTGATCAAAATGTGCTGTCGTCCCCCAGTTAACAGCAGCACAAGAACAACAACAGCAACAACAACAACAGCTCACAACAACAACAATAACAACAACAACAACAACAACAACAACAACAACAACCACAACCACAACCACAACAACAACAACAACAACAACAACGACGACAACGACAACGACAACGACAACAACAACAACAACAACAACAACAACAACAATCATGACACCAACAACAGCAAAACACAGCAATAACGACAGCTACAACAACAACAGCGATCATAACCAAACACAATAACGACAACAACAACAACAACAACAACAACAACAACAACAACAACAATCATTTTACCCGAACGCTCAGTGTTCTCACCAGTGCCAGGGTTTTCATGCGACGCGAGACAATACCCCCACTTCGTGGGGGGGCAGTTCAAGCTCTACCAAATATCCAAACGACTCTTCGCGACCACCCAAACCCAGCTTCCCGCCCTATGACGTTGGGACACTTCACTTCGTGGCGTGCGGACGACCGTGGCTACTACACTGGCGTGGGGTACACACCCACAGAACTTGGTCACTTATTCGGGGCGCGCGTGTGCCCAGCATCCTGCAATTGTGACATACAATACATGACACAGACAGACAGAGAGAGAGACAGAGAGCAGACAGAGAGAGAGACAGAGAGAGCGGAGTTGGTCACATTTTTGGGGCAAGTTCCTGAGATCGTCGTGTTTTTTGTTGGTCTTGCGCGCGCGAATGTCCACTTTACTTTTTTTTGCAAGGGAGTATTGAAATTTGATTATGTTAGAACAAGAAAAAGTAGCTCGCGCGAGCTCATGTAACATAAATGTTGAAAAACCATTGGTTTCGTGGGAGTCGGACAGCGCGCGCGGGATGAAATTTGGACATTTTTTTTGAAAAACCATTGGGTTTTTGATGTTTTTATGTTGAAATCGTTACGAAACCTAAGGTTCTGGAAGGATTTCGTCTTGCGCGCGCGAATGTCCACTTTACCTTATTTTTTGCAAGGGATTATTGAAATTTGATTATGTTAGAACAAGAAAAAGTAGCTCGCGCGAGCTCATGTAACATAAATGTTGAAAAACCATTGGTTTTGTGGGATTCGGACAGCGCGCGCGGAAGGACATTTTGACAATTTTTTCTTAAAAAACCATTGGGTTTTTGATGTTTTTATGTTAAAATCGTTACGAAACCTAAGGTTTTGGAAGGATTTCGTCTTGCGCGCACGAATGTCCACTTTACCTTATTTTTTGCAAGGGATTCTTGCAATTTGATCAAGTAAGAACAAGAATTTTCATTTTATAGTGTTTTTTGCAAGGGAAAACGGAGTACAACAAAACAACCGGATCCGGTAATAATTCACTTTTCTGAAGCTTTCGCTAAAAAATGATGAAAATGTAGCTGCGGCCTAGGTTTTGGAGGGGGGTCGCGCACCAGGGGTCCCAACAATAATTATTCTTTAGAAGTAATAATGTTCAACAACAGCAGCAAGGACAACAGCAACAACAGCGACTAACAACGGTAACGCCAACAACGAAGACGACGACGACAGCAAAACAACAACAACTATAACAACACAGCAGCAACAACAACGACACCAACAATCATGTTAAGACTGTTCGCTCTTATCAGCTCGCTTGCATTTCAACACGTGTATCCCAAACCCTCGATACCCGCCCACTTCGTCTTCGATCGTTCCCCCTTGGGGGTATCTCTTCCTTACCTGAAACGTGTATTTCATGCAGGGCTAGGAACAGAAAACACGTGGCAGAACCAGACGGGCAGATCGGGCGGGTAGACGCTAACAGGCGGGTCGGGAAGGCCGGCCCAGGCGGCCAGGTCGAGCAGGTGGGTTGCTGAAGCGTGCTGAAGTCTCAAGCGATGGCGCGATTCCCAAGTCAATCTTGAGACAGGCCAAAGCGAGATCGTGATTCCTGAGTATAGAGGGCGCGGCGTCTGAATAAATTGTTAAGCATTCCCACGCGAGAGTGCGATCCCTATATAAATTGTGAGAACGTCGCCCGCGAGAGTGTCGACTTTAGAAAAAAATCCGTCAATATCAGGCAGGGGCCGTTGTTGTTGTAAACTGGGGGCCAAAGACACAATTCTGAGACCCATGATTCTCCCTTGGAAAGAACGAGGTACGAGCCCCGGGAAGGGCACTTCAATTGAAAAAGCACCATGTGCCCCGGAGGAGGGGGATCAACAATAATTACTTCAGCAATTGAAGTTCAACGGCTCCCGCCTCATACATCCTCACCATTGATGAATCGCGGTATCGTGGGGGACGTCCTCACAGTTTCTCCAAGAATCGCGCTCTCGCATGGGACTTCCTCGCAATGTATTGCAACACCGCGCCCTCGACACTCAGAAATCACGCTCAAGCTGTGGATTTCCTCACGACCTACTTGGGAATCGCGCCATCGCTTGAGACTTCATCGCGATTCATAGAGGACGCACGCTTCAGCAACCCGCCTGCTCGACCTCGCCGCCTGGGCCGCCTTCCCGACCCGCCCGTGAGGGTCTACCCGCCCGATCTGCCCGTTTGGTTATGCCATGTGTTTTCTGCTCCTGGCACGCCTCCTGCTACTCTCTCTCTCTCTCTAACTCCCGTGCTCCATCCTCCTCCCTCCCCCTTGTCCCTTCCTTATCCGTCCTCTCTTCCCCTGCCTAGGCCCCAAAGGGGGTATGATCGAAGACGAAGGCGAATATCGTGGGTTTGGGATATACGTGTTGGATTGCACGGGAGCAAATACAAAAAAACAATAAGATTAAAATGATTGTTGTGTGCTGTTCGTTGTCATCGTCCCGCCCGCGACCCAGCCCGCGTCCCACCCGCGTCCCACCCGCGACCCCCCCGCGACCCATCCGCGACCCACCCGCGACCCACCCGCGACCCGGCCCGCAACCCACCCGCGGTCCACCCGCGATCCACCCCGCGACCCACCCGCGACCCACCCGCGACTCAACCGCGACCCGGCCGCGACCCACCCGCGACCCACCCGCGGCCAGGCCCGCGACCCACCCACGGTTCACCCGCGATCCACCCCGCGACCCACCCGCGACTCACCCGCGACCCACCCGCGACCCACCGCGCGACCCACCCGTGACCTTCCCGCGTCCCACCCGCGACCCACCCGCGACCCACCCGCGACCCACGCGCGACCCACCCGCGTCCTACCCGCGTCCCACCCGCGACCCACTCGCAACCCACCCGCGACCCATCCCGCGACCCACCCGCGACTCGCCCGCGACCCACCCGCAACCCCCCCCGCGCCCGCCCCCTCTCTCTTATCCGCAACTGCGGGGTGCTAGAAATCTGCGAGCGCACTCGCTGAATCCCTAGTACAGGAATAAGTTGTTCTGCCATTATGTCAAATCAGAGCGTGCGGGCCACTGGCGCGCGCATGTCCAAAACGTTCAACTTCCATCGCGCGCCCACCAACTCTGTCAAATCACATCATGCGGACCCTACGTACGCGTCTCCGCGGACGTGCGTCGAGATCCGTCAAAACCACTGGTTTCCAAACATGTTCAACACATGCGTGTTCAACGACATACAAAAACGGATTGTGTTCAATACAAGGCATGTCAATGTGTCCAAAGTTATGCGGGCGACCACGTTCTCGTGACCTTCATCGAGACAATCGTAAACATCAAAGTCAGCGTCAGCATTGGCTTCGTCATCCTCATCACCATCATCACCATCATCACCACCATCACGATCAGCATAATCATCATGAACATCCTCATCATCATCATCATCATCATCATCATCATCATCATCATCATCATCATCACCATCACCATCATAATCAGCATCAGCATCATCATCATCATCATCATCATCATCAGTATCATCATCAGTATCATCAGCAGCAGTAGCATCATCATCGTCGTCATCATCGTCATCCATCATCATCAGCACCGTCATCGTCGTCATCATCATCATCATCAACATCAACATCAACATCAACATCATCATCATCATCATCATCATCATCATCATCATCATCATCATCGTCGGCATCGTCGTCACCGCCATCATCGTTAAAGTAGAATCCCTCGAAAAACTTCTGCGCACGGGCATTTCCCGATCATCACCAACACCATTGTCATCATCGCCAGCGTCATCGTTGCCAACCCCATTCGTCACCCATCATCTTCATCACCATCACCATCGTCGTCGACATCGTACTGCTCCTATCTCCACTGTCAACGTCATCGGCATTACCGTCGTCACAACTGTCATCGCCATCGTCGCTGGCGTCGCGCCCGTCACCATCGCCATCAGCAGTTCGCGACCTAGAGACCAGACTCGTCTGCGCGGGTGAGTTTCACGCGCCCGTGCGCTCGTTGACGTCATGGCCATATGAGCTTTTTCTGGGTACATGGGTGGAAGGTTTGCACGAGCACAGGAGCTGGTCGCGCGCAGATATTGCGCGGTTGGTGAGGTGTACCCCATAGATTGAGCATAGCTTGCACAGTGTAGCTTGCGGCACGTAGGTTACATTGCACCGATTGCACCGTACAAATTCCAACACACAGGTTGCACCAGACACAACTTGCGCCGCAGAGGTTGCACATCGAGAGTGCAAGAACCCTCTGTTTCGGATCCACGCTGGCAAACACTTCTGCTTTGCAACAGGCTTGTCAAACAGGAACTTCATAGAAGTGCCAATGCCCCCACATGATGGCATGAATACCATACCCCACGCAATCGCGAGGGGCGTGCAGGGGGCACTTCGACTTACCTCGGACTTGATGGAGGCAACAGCATGACCCGCTCGTGGCCGCTTGCTCCCCGCCCTCGCCGGTCCTGACGTAGGAGATGTGCACGCCCTTCCGGCGGTGCTCCCCGGAGCAGTCCTGCGCGGCCACCGTGGAAAGACCGTTCCCCCATGCGCGGCTCAGCACAGTGAATGTGCCTGTCATGCCCCACCGACGCCGTCTCGAGATCGGCCCCAAGCCATGCCATGCGTTCCAATTCCGGCCGCGCTGAGGAGGAGCAGCCGTGGCGCCAGAGGCTACTGGAGCGAGAGCGAGACCGAGCAGTGCGAGGCGGGGAGTTGTCCATGCCGCCGCTGGTAGGATCGATCTGCGGGGGCCTCGGTTGGCAGTGGAGACGGATAGGTTCGGCCCCCCCATCCGAATAGATCCATAACCACCGCCTGCCGAGGCTCCCAGAGATCGATTCCCCCAGGCGGTGGTTGTGGACAAACCCACGCCTGGGGAACAGGAGGTAAGAGCGTGCTCAAGTGTACAGCTCGGGATGTCGGGCCGCCCGCTCTACAGCGGGAGGAGAAGCGGCGGCAGTAGCAGATACCGAGATTGGAAACTGAAGAGGAGGAGGCGGTGGCGGTGGAAGGAGGAGAAATGGAGGAGGAGGAGGAGGAGAAGGAAGGGGAGGAGGAGGAAGGAGGAGGAGAAATGGAAGGAAGGGGAGGAGGAGGAGGAGGAGGAGGAGAAGGAAGGGGAGGAGAAGGAGGAGAAGGGAGGAATGGAGGAGGAGGAGGAGGAGGAATGGAGAAGGCGGAGGATGGAGCGCGATACCGAGCGCGATGCTTCGTGGCCGGCAGGCGGACGACGTGCCCGGGACACCGCGGGAGGGCCGGACGACGCGAACCTCGGGCGAGCCCCCGCGAGCAGCCTCCCCGCACGACGAGCTCACGGAGGGACGGCATCGGCAGGACAACAAAGACGAGGCCTGGCCTCCTTCACGTCGGGAGACTCTCCATGGGGGGGGATCCCATGGGGGGGGCAGGAGGGGATCCCCCCCATGGGATCCCCTCCTGCCCCCCCACGGGATCCCCAAGGGATCCTATGGGATCCCCCCCCCTGGGATCCTATCCCCCCATGGGATCCCCCCCCATGAAGAGTCTTCCGATCACGCGAGCGACAGGCGACAAAAGGAAACCGGTGTCACGCGGCATGGCACTGCGACCTTACGCGGTGGCTTGCGCAAGCCGCCGGCGCGGAGCGGTACGCCAGAAACGAAGCTGCTTACGCGCGACCTTACGCGTTCAGCTTACGGGAGAATGTCCTGGCAGTCGAACCCGTGTCCGTGTTTCAGAGACCTCCCAGATGGGGTCGGAGTAGGTGGGATCGGAAGATCGCACCGCATCGCAAATACATCAACAATGCATCGACGATGCATCGGCGACGTCGCCGGCGGTGCATCGTCGACGCCAGCGACGCTGGCGCGTTGAGAAAATCGGGCTCCACGTCGAGCCGCATCGCGATACATCGGCGATGCGGCGCAATCCTCCCACCCCAGCTGCTCCAACACCGTCTATCGGGGGCGAGCCCAGGGGGGAAGTGAGAGGGGCGGGCCTTCTGAAAAGGCTCGGAAAACCCCCGCCTTTAATATGTTTTCTAAGCCTTCCCCGAAGACACGGAAAAAAACTGTTCGGAAGGCGCGAGGGCCTCTGAGAAGCCCTACATCCTCCTGAGAGGGCCTTTTTCTTATCACTTCCCCTCTCGCTCGCCGACGATCCACATCGAGCCGCATCGCCGATACATCGGCGCAATCCTCCAACCCCATCTGCTCCGACACCATCTAAGGTCAACCCGTATCATAAGAAACCACGATAAGGATGCAAGGGCCTTGGAAGGTCATGTGACCCTCTGCGAGCAGGGCGCGGCCAGCGAAAGCGGCCAAAGAAGGGCCGGGAATGATGCAAGGGTAACCGTGGAAGTTGCTGTCGTCGTCGTCACCCTTACCGTGCGGGTTGACTGTAGGAGGCTGCAATTTCTTGCGCCACCCACATGGCGCCCGCTGGCCGCCGAGGAACCGTGGGCCGTCCAGGCACAGGTACACGCCGAACGTCACGGAGCACCAGGTCGGGTTGCGGGCCGCGCACTCGAAGCAGGACCTGCGCGGCGGCTGCCTCGTCGCCGCAGTAGCAGTACGGCCGGGCCTAGGACAGAAGAACATCCTTCAAGAACACGAGACCATCCGCTGGCCAAACTGAGGAATATTCGAAGACACCCTCCCCCAGGACGCACACCAACATCCAACAAACACGAAGAGCATGAGGGTACCTTCCCCGAACCGATGGCGATCTTAAACCTCGGGTATTAGTAGTAGGTAATTAAACGTCGCACGTCGTACGTCGCCGAACGTCGTCGTCGTACGCCGTGGCCGCACGTCGATCGCCGTCACGCCATGCGTCGCCGCCGTCGTCGTCCGCCTCCCGCGCCCAGGAGGACAGGGGAGGAGGGGGGAGCAGAGGAGGGAGGGGTGGAAAGGGGGGGAGGGGTAGGGTCTGGCTCCAGACCTCTGCTTAGTGCGAGTGTTTGCAACAGTGCGTCCTATGGGGGAGACTCCGCCTGCTCGAAACAGTCGCCAAAAACGGCCAAGATCGACTCCATGGGGGAGGAGGGGGGGGCTCGTGTTGCACCTGGAGCCCCAGGCCTGCCATGAATCGAGCGCGGACCGCGCGTGCCCCGTCCCCACCCTGATGTTGCCCCAGCCGCTGGAATGCGACCACTTGCTTTCTGGCTGGTTAACCTAAATGCCACTGCTCGTAGACCAAGAAACCGAAGCTGCCTTCAACGGGCCGGCGCCGATCGGCAAAGCAATGAATCAGAAGACGACGACCAGACGGAGGAGGGAGGAGGGTGTCGTTCTGTGTGAGGAGGAGGAGGAGGAGGAGGAGGAGGAGGAGGAGGAGGAGGAGGAGGAGGAGGAGGAGGAGGAGGAGGAGGTGGAGAGGAGGAGGAGGAGGAGAGGAGGAGGAGGAGGAGGAGGAGGAGGAGGAGGAGGAAGAGGAGGAGGGAGAAGGAGGAGGAGGAGGAGGAGGACAAGGGGAGGAGAGAGGAGGAGGGAGGAGGCGGAAGGAGGAGGATGGGGGAAGCGGAGGAGGAGGAGGCGGAGGAGGGAGGGGAGGAGGAATGGGAGGGGGGGGTGGAGAGGGAGGAGGAGGAGGAGGAGGAGGGATGGCATGGAGGAGAAGGAGGGTGAGGAGGAGGAGGAGGGAGGAGGAGGAGGAGGAGAAAGAGGGAGGGGAGGCGGAGGAGGAGGTAGGAGGAGGATGAGGGGGATGAGTAGGAGGCGGCGGGGAGAGGAGGAGGAGGAGGAAGAGGAGGGGAATGGGTAGGGGGAGGAGAAGGCAGAGGAGGGGGAGGATGAGAAGAGAAAGAGGAAATCGGAGGGGGAGGAGGAGGAGGAGGAGGAGGATGAGAAGGGAGGAGGAGAAGGAAAGAAAAGGAGGAGGAGGGGAGGAGGAGGAGGGAGGAGGGAGGAGGAGAGGAGGAGGAGGAGGAGGAGGAGGAGGAGGAGGGGGGGAGGAGGAGGGAGGCGGAGGAGGAAGAGGAGGAGGAGGAGGAGGCGGAGGGAGGAGGAGGAGGAGGAGGAGGAGGGAGGAGGAGGAGGAGGAGAAGGAGGAGGACCCAAACAAGAAGGAACGTCAACGGTACGGCGACGGGCAGCCGACGCGGCACGGAGGGACGGATCCGACACGCCAAAAAGGCGGCAAAACTCGAATCCGACCCGCGCCGAGCAGGACTTACGAGCCCGTCGACGACTGCCAAAACTTGGCCTGCAATCGGGCCACAAGCGCATCCATTCGAGGATTCCGAATGAGAGCAGCAGTGACGGAGGAGGAGGAGGAGACGTCCGCCCACCCAGCCGTCCCACCCACCAACCGCCGAATGAGGTCGGACTCGAGAGGGGTCGGCGCCTGGAGGGTCTCCTCGCGGCGACGCGAGTGCGGGTGAAGCCCAGCCTCCAGGCGCCGTCGGTCATACGCCCGCTGGGGCGTCAAGGCAGGGCGACAAGGCTTGAAGAGGGCGCCACTCGACCTCTCCTCCGCATAGGCCCCGCATTTACAGCAATACACTAGGACCTGATCGCGTGCTGTCCAGCACGCCCTCAGGACGTGGCCGCCCACCCCTTCGCTCTCACGCAGCTTTACAAGGAGCGGAGGGGGGCCTGAGCACTGATTGAGAGGGCGCTCGTCATGCTCAGGGCAAGCCCCAAGGCACCGAGCACAACGCAACTTCCAACTCCCCACACGACACCACTCGTGCCACGACACAACCCGCGTTATGCTCGGCACCTTGATCTTCTTAAAGGATGGGAGGGGGAAAGCAGGAAGGACCGCCGCCGCCACACGAATGGCGGCGCGGAGGCGTTTGACCATTAGCCCATGCAACTCAGAGGTGGCGGGAGGAGCACGGGGGTGGAGGGAAAGGGCATCCTTGGCTAACAAATCGGCCAACTGGTTGCCACGCGCGATCCTTTCCTCATCGGGTGGGAGCGCAGAGATGACATCTTCAGAGCGATGGGCACGGGTGTGACTAACGTACCCAATATGTGTGTGTCCTGGATGCTGGAGCGCACCACGGCGCAGACCAGCAAAAACTTGGGATCCGTTCAGCTGGGCGAGGGCAGGCTTTTGAGTCAAGCGCACAGCGCCCAAACAATCGGAAAACGGCCTCGTGGTCCCTGGGCCCCGTTGGAAGATGGAAAGCATAGCTAGGGCAAGGTGTTCGGCAGACGGAGCCGTCTGGGGTAGGGACTCCCACACCACACCCTGCATCCTACATCGGACTTCGCACTGCTCAGAATTCTCCAGAAAGACAGCGGCATAAGCCGCTCGGTTGAGACGGGCGAATTCAGTTCGAGTTGCACTACCGTCAACACAAACATCACATCCCGCGCTGAGCTCCTGGAAGGTCTCCTGGGACACAGGGTTGCCCTGGGCATCCTGGAAGACAGGAAACAACTCAGAGGAGGGAGGAGGGAACTCGTCGGGGCGAGGTTGGAACACCAGGAGCCTGGACCACAGAAGATCTCCGGGCTCCTCGCGCGCATCTGCTACAATCTCTGCCGACGTCGCCTCTTCCCTAGCAGCAGCCACAGCAGGGCAGCACCAGAGACGATGATGAATTGAATCGGGCTGGGAGCACAAGGGGCAAAGACCTGTTGATTCAAAGCCATGCTGCACAAGGCGGTCCTCGGTCCACATGCCACCAGCAAAGACAGAGGCTACAACATGCCTTTGCAGCGCCGAGAATTTCTTAGAACGGACAGCCTTGACAATGAAATCTGCGGAAACCTCCTGTCCCTGCCCCTGCGCTAGAGTGGCAGCAAAGCTACGGCCATGATGGCGGAGAATACTAGCATGCAACTGCTTGGCAAGCAAGGCAGGAGAGGTGAAAAACAAATCATGCTCTATCTGGTTGTCATCGAAGAAAGTCTTGAAGTTGGTGAACTTCCATCCTAGGCGATGCAAACACAACATGGCACGGTGAATGGGGCCAGCACTCTTATTCCACTGCGACTGCTGCAAGACTGGATACTTCACGGCTACAGCATCCCACGTCTTTTGCAAGAACCTCCACGATAGCACAGCACGATCAGGATGCACAATCGAGTTCCATACTGCCTTGGAATATTGAATGACGGGCGCCACTGCTACCTTCCACCCTGGGTCATCATACAGGAGCATACGAGCGGGTAGCGAGCCTCCTCGGAACGGGACGAGGGCACGTCGTAACACCAACAACTCTCTCTCCGTCATGCCAGTGACGAGTGATCCGTACGTAGTGGCAGGGCGCACTCCAGATATATATATCTTGTGAAGTTTGGCCTTGCCCACAGAGAGCCGTCGACGTAGCGAACGCAGGAAGCCAACACGTCTCTTCATAGCTCGAAACCGTTTCTTCATCCGACACGTAGCACCAGGCGCAGCACGAGGACGGGCAGGAGCGAAGTCGGCACCGAGCGCAGTGGCAGAGGTCGTAGCAGCCGCTGAGCGAGCACCGATTCGAGCAAGCCGTCGGTCGAGTTCACGAACGACATCATGGGAAGACCCAAAGACCACCGCCTTGTCGTGGGCAAGGCCAACCTGGAGCTCCTCCCTATAAACGGTGACGAGGTCCTGGGCTGCCTCCACGAGGGCTGGTACGAGGTCTTCTCGGGGGCCCGTCATGGAAACACAGTCGTCATCAACGTACACGCCGAGGTCCAAGCGGGGGTGCCGCGCCACGAACCCATCTAGGGCCCCGAGGAGGTAGATCTGCACAAAGGCGTCATTGAACACGTCGCCAGCTGGCAACCCAGAGCGAGCAAACTGCACAAGAGGACAGTGATGGGCTCCCAGTCGAACCAGGCGAGGCCCCCTCCAGAAGTTGAACAGGACCTTGACTAGGGGCCGCGGGAGCCCGCACGCCAGCGCACGATCACGCAGGAGCTCCAAGTTAAACGACTCATAGAACTTGAGGCCATCCCACAGAAACCCCGCCGTCTCTTGTTCGACAGCCTGGCCACGTTCAGCGCGGACTGCCGCATGCCACACCGCCTCCTCAGCTCCCCTGCCTTTTCCAAAGGACCAGTACTTGCGGGAAGACGATTCCAGGAAGGGCTCCACAAGAGGGCGGCGTGCCTTTTCCCACACTCGCACAAAGGGCGCGACGAGCAAAATTGGGCGGTAGCCGCCTTGCGGCTTCTCAAGCAGCGGAAAGAGGAGCCAGAGGAGCTGGGCAGGAAACAGGCCGAGGCGCTCCGAGCACGTGAATATAATACTGAGCTGCTCGAGCGCTGTGTCGCTGAGCATCTCGACATGCCGTGGGTGAAAGCCGTCAAGGCTTTGGGCCGTGGATTCCGAGAAGGTCCGAGCCGCCGCGCGCAACTGCACACACGTGAGGGCGTCCAGAGCCTCGCGATCGGGAATCCACGCCTCAGGAGGCTCCACCTCCGCATGCCAAAATCCTCCGAGCTTCACGGTCTCCTCCTGCACTAACTGACACGGCTCAGACGTAAACGACCCAGGGACCGAGGAGGAGACCGTGGGCTCCCACAGCTTCTTGATGCGGGACAGGCGATGCATGCGCCTGGCCGAGCCGCTGAGCGCCGAGATGTGCCACT